TCCACTCCCTCCTCCCTCCGCTCCCTCGCCACCCCCCCGCTCCCCACTCCCCCAATCCCTCCACCCCATCTACCCCTCTACCCCTCTACCTGTCTACCGGCCCACCGCTCCGCTGCTCCACTGCTCCACTGCTCCACCTCCCCGCCGCCCCGCCCCCGCCCCCTCGCCCCGCGCCACCCGCCGCTGCCGCTACTGCCCGCCGCTCCACGCCACCTCGCCGCCTCACCACCTCACCACCTCACCACCACCACCTCCACGGCTCCGCGATCCGCCCTCGAGGCCGGCCTCGAGGCGCTCGAGGCGGTCGCGGCGGCTGGGCGGGCCCGCGGCTGCACGCGGAAGCCAGGCGGGCGGCCGGCCGCTGGCGGGCAAGCGAGACGGCGAGGAGATGAGGAGATAAGATGAGATGACGAGGAGACGAGGAGGATGAGGAGGAGGGGAAGATGCGAGGAGGACGAGGCGCAGGGATGAGCGGATGAGGGACGAGGGCGAGAGGGCGAAGGAGGGGTGAGGATGGGCAGCAGGCAGGAGCGGGAGTCAACGAGTCGAACGGGAAGAGCCAGCGGGGGCGGGGGGGCGGAGGGAGGAGGAGAGGAGGAGAGGAGGAGGGGAGGAACAGCAATCAAGCATTAGAGCAATAGAGCAACAAAATGGCGAGTGGACGAGTGGACGAGTTGACGAGTTGAGGGCGAGGGGGGGGGGGGGCGGGGGAACCTACGTGAGCACTTGAGCTACTTGAGGAGGTGGCCGTAAGTGCCCTTGGCAGGGAGCCCGCGCTTATCAGCAGCAGGTGGCGGGGCGACAGGCGCGGCTTCGCCGCTGCCTGGATCGCACTGCGCGCGCGGGCCCTTCTCGGCCAGCATGGTCGAACCGCTGAAAAGCGAAGCGCCTCCCGTGGGCGCGGGCTCCCGGGCCGCTGCAGGGGCCTTCTTGGGCGCCATCTCGCCGATTCCAGGGTCCCGCATCAGCTCGAAAGGGGGGGTCGCATCACGACCTGCCTCAGTCGGCACGATCACGGGGCTGCACACGATCATCTTGTCAACAACGGAGGCGCCGCCGTCCATGTGGATCTCCAAGTAGGGCGGCAGATTGAACGTGATCGACTGCATCTCGACCTTGACGGTCGCGCGAGCCGCAGGAACAGCGGGCTCAGGTTCGTCGTCAGGGGCGGCAGGGGCAGCAGGGGCAGTGGCAGCTTTGGTCTTGGCCTTGGCTTTGGCCTTGACCGCTGGCTTGGCCTTCGGCTTCGGCGAGGGCCGATGCCTAATGAGCCAGGCGGGCACTGGGCACTCGGCGTGGAACCCGTGGATGGCTTCATTGTAGTTGAGGTAGATCGGGATCTGGATCTTGCCTTCGTCGGGCTCCTCGGGCCACTCGTGGGACGGCGGGGCCTCCACTGCGCGAGCGGCCCCTGGAGCTGTCGATTGACCGCCCCCCGCGTTCCCCAGCTCGACCTTGGCGCCCATGCCGCCCATGCCCTTGGCAGCCTTGGCAGCCTTGGCAGCCGCAGCATCGCGCGCAGGCGCGGCCGCGCCGCCGCCTGCGGCGCCCGCCGCGTCAGCATGCGCAGCGCCCGCGCCATCGGCGCTCGCGGCATCCGCGGCATCCGCAGCGCCGCCAGAGTTGCCAGAGGAAGCAGGCGCAGCCGCAGCCGCGGGCATTGGAGCGCCCGGGACGGCGCTCGCGAGCGCTAGGCCCTCGGCGCCCTCGGCGGCCTCGGCGGCGCCGGTCGCTGGCAACGCCCCAGGTGCCGCGGGCGCGGCTAGCTCTGAGCCCTGCTCCGTCGGCGCAGAGCCCGCCTCGATAGCGCCCGCCGCATCATCTGCAGCTTCGTCGGCATCGCCGGCATCGCCCCCACCACCTCCACCACCTCGCACGCCGCTGATGGTCGCAATGTGGAAGGACTGGGCACCACGCTTCGTGCTGACCGTACCTGTGAAAAACATCTTGAACGCGTTCGTGAGCTTCTTGGTCGTGAGTAGGGAAGGCACCAGCTTCTTGCCAGAGCCAGAGCCAGTACCAATCGGATTCTCGACGTCAAGCCGCACCGAATCGAACGTGTCGTTTTGCGGGAGGTATGCCAAGTTCGTCAGCTCGGACTCAACGGCCTTGCATATCTGGTTCACATACGCGGCTGTGACCTCAGACTCTGGCACCAAGAACACTGGGACGTCGTAGTCGGCGTCCGTGAACAGCTGGCGCAGCGCTTCTCCCACCAAGGCATCGTCATCGGCGTAGATGGCCGATGATTGGAACGAAATCAACTCGGACAGCGTCCCCAAGGTGACCGTTTTGGGGGCGGAGGCTGGCGGTGGTGCAATCGCAAGGATGGCAGCAGCGTCGGCATCTGTGGTAGAGTCAGCGCCGACGGCGCCAGCCGCAGCAATGTCCTCGTCGAACTGCTGCTGCGCATCAGTGGCAGCCTTCGAGATGCCGTGCAGCGTCATGGCTGTGCTGGCAATCTGGTCGACGACGTGGGGGTCACCAGCTTGCTGATTCTTGAACGAGCCGTCGATGATGCGGGCGGCCATCGTCTCGAATGCGTAGCTCCACGATTTAGTCCATGCAGCGAGACCCACGCTCGAGCACTCGATGTCCATGAAGACCAGCCCCGACTTGGTACCCGCCTCGTCCTGCAGCATGCGCATGAGCGCATTGACGATCGGCTTGGCGAGCTGCACGACGCCCTTGTCGGTGGCGATGGTCCAGACAGCGCCTCGCGCGAGACCGCGGCCCAGTAGAGTACTAGCGAGCGTAAGCACGCACTGACCCCGGCACTCAAGGAACTGCTCGAGAGAGCTCACATCCTGGAACAGCTCGTTGACAGCCTGGAGGAGAGGCGAGGAGAGGTCGAGAGGAGGAGAGGATAAGAGGATGATGAAGGAGGGGCAGGACGGGCAGGACGGGGGCGGGGGGGCGGGCAGGGGGTAGGGGGATAGGGCGGGAGAGGCAGAGAAGCGCGAGAGTGCGAGGGTGTGCGCGGTGCTTGCGTAAATCCTAGGTGCATGGGTGCATGGCTGCATGGCCTTCATCATTTCATCATCGTCCCCCTGCGCACGGTGACGCGACTGTTGGAATGTTGGGGCGGGGGGGCGGAGGGGGCGGGGGGCCTCGCATCGAGCTGCGCGCGAGCGCGGGCAGCGCGGCAACGCGGGCGCCGTTGAACGCCGCGCACCACACGATTTACACCCGGCCCCCAGCGAAGGCGGAATGGCGGGGGTGGGGGGGGGGCGCGGAGGCGCGGGGGTGCCCCGGGGGTGGCGGGGATGCGATGGGGGAGTCGGAGAGGCGGAGAAGCGGGGGGGGAGCGAGGAGGCGCGAGGGAGGGAGGCGATGGGGGGGTGAGAGGGTGAGTGAGAAGGTGAGAGGCATGAGAGGCGGGAAAGGGATGGCGACAAGGGGACGGACGAGCGAAGGCCGAGGGGGGTGCAGGCGCGGGCGCGGAAGCGTTGAGGCGTTGAGGAGAGTTGGAGGGCTGGAGGTGCGGAGGTGCTGGAGGTGCTGAGGTGCTGGAGGTGGAGAGGTGAAGAGGTGGAGAGGTGAGAGGTGGAGGATGGGAGCGTGGGCGTGGACAGCGTGGAGGCGCGGACCTGGCTGGATGGAAGGCCCCGGGGGCCTTGGGGCCCTGGGAGAGACCGCTGCCACTACTGCCACTGACAGACTGACAGACTGACAGCAGACAGGCAGACAGGCAGACAGCAGCAGGCGGCGCCTCTGGGACTGCGAAGTCGATGTACTTCTGCGGATTGGCCCACACGTTGGCAACCAGCTTGCACGAAAGCAACCACTTGTCCTGCAGGGCCTCTGACTCGGGGTTGCCAGCGTTGAGTGCGGAGGCGATGAATTCCATCAGCGTCGTGACTTTGATTACCAAGAGTTTCTCCTTGTTCTTAGGGTCCCGGAGGGCCTTCATGCGGTCGTCGAAAGCGCTCGCGGCCGTGGAGAGCAGGGCGCCGTAGCAGGGCAGGTGGGCAACATCGGAGTCTAAACTGTTATTGGCCAGGAAGTCACTCAGGACTTTGACAAAACCCTTGTTGCCAAATACGCCTGCTATAGACCGTTCCGCCGAGTTGAGGGCCCCCGCGCCATCGTCGCCGCCGTCGCCGCCGTCGTCAGCGTCGCGGAACATGCTAGAGGGGGCAATGTGCTCTGCGACCATCTTCTTGGCCTCGGAGCGGAGAGAGGCCCATCCCGTGATCTTCTTGCCACTGGGGAGCACCACCTCACGGGCGCGGCGGCGGCTGGCGCGAGACGCGGATGAGCGGGTGGTTTGGATCGGTAGCTTAGGATCTTAGGATAGGATCTTAGGAGCTTAGGACGCTCAGGCGCCCGCCCTCCCCCTCCGCCCAATCGATATCTTATATTCTTACGCGTCTACATGTCACCCCATCACCCCACCCGCCCACGCTTCCATGCTCTTCCTCTGCCGCCCCCTTCGCCCCTTCAACCCCCAAACCCCAAACCGTTCCCTGGCCTTCCGCCGCCCGCTGGATTGAAGGGCCTAGGGCCCCGCGGCCCCGCGGCCCCACGCTGCCCGCCTGACCCGCCCGACCCGCCCGGGCCTTCGGGCCCAGGGCCCGACGGCCAGGAGGGGGCCCGAGGGCGCGTCGGCACGTCGTGGAGCGAGGGGGGGTTGGGGGGTTGGGGCGGGGGGCGGGGGGGGGGGGGGGGGGGGGGGGGGGGGGGGGGGGGGGGGGGGGGGGGGGGGGTGGGGGGGGGGCCAAAACTCTCAGCCGAACATGCCGAACATGCCGACCACGCCGACCAGACCACCACGACCATCGCCGCCCCGCCCCGCCGCCCCGCGCCCGCAGCACCTGGCCAGCCTGGCCGGCCGCGCCGCTGAAGGCGAACTGGAAGGCGAGGCGGATGTACATGAGCTTTGCCTGCAGGGCGGATGGGATAGGGTGGATAGGGTGGATGACGCGATGCTCGAGAGAGCTAGTGAGCTAGTACGCCTAGTAAGCAGACAAGATGGGAGCAAGCGGGCCTGGGGGCCTGAGAGCCAGCTGGAGAACTGGAGAGAGGGGGGAGGGATGATGGGGGGAAGGCGGAGAGGCGGAGAGGAGGTAGAGAGGTAAGTGTGCGTAGAGGCGCGACGAGCTGGCAGCGGCGCAGGAGCGGGGGCGAGGGGGGGGGAACGGGGGAAGGGGGGGGAAGTGGGAAGCATGACGCTAATAATAACAATAATAATTATAATAAGGGACGGGACGAAGGGCAGGAGGAGGAAAGAACGAGGATACCGACACGATTTGGCGGAGTGGCGCATGGGCGCAGGGGGAAGGAGAGGGGGGGGGAAGGGGGGAAAGAGGAGGGGGGAGATAATGAGATGATGATGAATAAAGAGTGGGCATGCAAATCCAGGGGCGTTTACACCCCACGCCGCGAGCCTCGTCGACTCGCGCCGTCGTAGCTGAGGAATTCCGCTCATCTGCGGAGGTGAACGCTCGGGACCCGAGCGCGTCGGCCACTGCTGCCGACATCCCAGTCCACATGCACTCTATCCAGGTGATGGGCATCGACTTCTCCTTGGCCGATGTCAACATCTGGGCCGTCTCGATGTCCTTGATGTGGACGGCCTTCGGCGACTTGGGCAAGCTCTTCCTCTTGGGCTTGGCTGCGCCGGCGGGCGTAGCAGTCGACACCGACTTCTGGCTGTCATCCTTCTCCCCCTGAGGCGCGGGCCCGTCGGCGATGTCAGAGGCCGTGGCAGCCCGGCGTTCAGCGAGGCGCCTGGCCAATCGCTCCTGGGCCTGGTCTGGAGTCTTGTTGCCCAGGCGACGGCGCTTCGAAGGCGGCGGCGAGTCCGCGGGCGCTGGTCGAGCGTGCTGCTTCTGCACGGCAATGGCCGCAGTCTCCTGCTTATGGGCAACAGCGCCTGCAAGCGACTGTAACTTCTCAATCTTCTTGCCAGCCTCCCTGTACACCTTCCCAGCGCTGACGTCGAGGAAGAGCAGCTTCATCGCGTTGTTGGTGACAGCAGGCGTCGTCAAGTACCAGGCCACGTTCGTGTACTCGGCATTGAGCTGCTGAGCGTGAGCACCGTCGACGCCACCTCCCAAGTCGACGACTGCCCGATCGTCCTCGCCAGCCCGCCCGGCAGCAGCATCTCGCATCTCATCAATGCTGGTTGTGGGCACCTCGCGGCGGCGGGTGACTCACCCAGCCTGCGGCCTCCTCCTCATATCCTCATATCCTCATATCCTCATATCCCCCTCTCCTCCTCTCCTCCTTGCCTCCTCCTGTCCTCCTGTCATCCTGCCCTCCCCCCATCCTCCCCATATCTATCCACATTTTCTCATAGTCATGCTCCTCATGACCTCATGATCTCCTCATCCTCCTCCCCCGTCTTCGGCGCCATTAGAACCCTCTAGACCCCCATCAACCCCGCCCCACCGCCTCGAAAGCTCGAGGGGGGGGGGCGAGGAGGCGGAGGATGAGGTGAGCGGTTCGAGTCAGAGCCCGAGGGGCCATGAATTTGAAAGCCTCAAGTACGAGGAGCTTGACCTCATTCTTGGTGAACGAGACGCTGACACCGTGGAACTTGGACTCGTTGGTCAGGTCCTGGAGCGCGCCCAGCATGACCTTCATGCTGGACAAGAGCGTCTCGTTCTTGAGCTGGCCGTCCCCGAACACTGCATTCTTGTTCGCCCACTTCCTGATCGAATCGTAGATGCCAAGTTTGCCCCCCGGGTGTGGACGAATTACTTTGTTGATGAAGTTATAGAGCTCGAGCGCGGTCTGGTTGGGAATGGTCCCGCGCAAGACCAGCTCCTTGAAATGATCCTTGACGTACGTCCAGCACTTGATGCGGTACTGGCTGCTTGTGGACCCATCGCCCTCCCGAGCCTGGATGCCGTTGTCGTGCGCGTACGCGTGCCACCCCGCCATGACTTTGGCGGCCCAGTCCAAGATTTCAATGAACGACTGGCTTGATGTCTGACCGAAATCAAAGTTGCCGAAATCACGAATCCACGTGACGATGTCGGGGGGGGTGGAGTGTTTGAAGACCACGACGCGGGCGAGACCCTTTTTGAATGTGGCGAGGACGTTGCTGTTCCGAGGGTTCCTCTGGAAGGCGATGTAGAATGCAGTCGCCAGGTGGGCATGGGCGAAGAGGCGGTACGGGGGCCGGTCGCCCTCCGACAATTGTGCAAATGGCACCCCGCGCATGTCCTCGACCAGGCCGTAGTCCATGATGGTTTTCACGTGGCGCTCCAATGTCTTCTGCTGTTCTCTGTCGTTCAAGTCGTGCCGCACGAAATTCGGCTTCTTGGTGGCCTTGTCAAACCACGGGATTGTGCTGCTCAGCATCATGGGAACCTCGCAGGCGCGGCGGCGGAGGAAAGGAGCGGATGAAGAGATGAAGAACGGTGAGTCGGCAAACCCAGCGCATCAAGGGGAACGGCGAGGCGGGTCCCATCCCGCCTCGCCCGTGACCCCGTGACTCACAGCATTTGCGGTTCACCGATCCCACACTGGTTGGGTCTGGCTGTCTGGCTGGGGCGCGGGGGCGCGGGTTGGAGTCGGGGCCCCCCCGAGGGCCCCAGGGCCCGCAGCACGGACGCGCTTGGATTTAACGCGCATGGAACCCCAAAGGTCTTCTTGCAGAAATCCAGGCGTCGGGCGCCATGAATATTCGGAAGGCGCACGTCGATGCTCGTCACTCTCGAATCGTGTAAGAGCGCCAACTGATCGGGCGCAAGCCCTTGAGAGGGGTCATCCGCGTCCACGTCCATCGGCTCATCGAGATCGTCGAGCAGTGGGATCTGATCACCGGACGAAGCGGCCATGGACTTGGACATGGCCGTGACGACGGCCGCCGACGATGCTGGCGCCGAACACTGAAGGCTGGGGCGCACGGGCACACGGCCGCGCAAAGCCGAGGGTGATTCTAACGAATGAGCAACTACCTGCTCGAGCTGCTCGAGCTTGAATCGCAGCGGCTGTCGTGGAAGCCCGAGCTCCCGAGCTCGCCCGAGCACGCCTCGGCCTTGCGCGAGCGGAACCCCAGAACCCGACCGAGCCAGCCACAGGAATAATCCGACTCGGAGAGGAAAGAGGAAAGAGGGAAAGAGGAACAGAGGCTGAGGACGCTGAGGACGGCTGAGGAGAGGAGGGAGGAGAGGAGGAGGAGAGGAGGATAAGGAGATGAGGAGGATGAAGAGATGAAGAGATGAAGAGGACGGGAGGGCGGGGCCGCGGGAGAATCAGAAGCTCGGAAGCTCGGGACAACCGCGCAATTACTTGTGAGTCTCTGCAAACCGCCCAGACAGCCGATCCAGGCCGCCACCTTCACACCTTCACCCCTTCACCTCCCCCCGCCCCCCCGCCCCCCCCCCCCCAAACCCCCAGACCCCACGGCCTGACAGCCTGACAGCCTGACAGCCAGGCCGTTCCGGGGCAATGGGTCGGAGGGTTCGGATGGTCGGAGGGTCGGAGGGGCGGGGGCGCGGGGGCTCTTGGGCTCTTGGGGGCGGGGGGGAAGGGGGGGGAAGGATGGAAGGGTGGAAGGGGGGGCCAGGGAAGGGGGCAGACATGCCATGCTAGGGCGAAGACGCACTTTGCCCTGCGGCCACGCGGCAGTCATGTTGTCATGCTGAGCTGAGATGCTGAGATGTTGTTGATGCTGAGGGGCCATGGTTCGCGAGGTTGATGCACGTGGCCGTGTTCGACCTGGTCACGCATGGAGCGTCTCACCGTCTCACGTCTCACCCAAAATGTCGCCTGCAAACTGCAGCGCGATGGTGCGATGGTCGGCGGGTCGGCGGTAGCCAGCAGCAATATAGAATGGCATGGGTGGGTGGCATGGGACGGTGGGGCGGGCACATGGGCACATGGGCACATGGGCGCATTCACCGCATGGTATATTGTTGTTGGTATGCTATTAATATTGGTAGCATAATGCTGATATGCTGGTATACTGATACACTGGTATAGACAATATAGACATGTAGACATGTAGACATTGAGTGTTGTGATTTTGTGATTGCGACATCCGAACCACATCCCACATCGCCAACCCAAGGCGCCGTGCGAAGATTGCCCTCGACACGGCGATGGCGCAGAGCTTCGGCAAGTCAGCGGCGACAGTGGCCAAGGCCGGGCGGCTGGGCGGCGCCTCTGCAGCTCTGTGACGTCCCTCTCGTCCTCTCGTCCTCTCGTCCTCTCGGTCCTCTCGGAGGTCCTCTCGTCCTCTCGCCTGTCGTCTGCAGAAGGATCGGGCCCGATGGCCATAGCGCCATAGCCCCATAGCCATAGCCCGAGGCGCGCGATGCGCGCGCGCCGCCTGCCTGCGTGCGCAGACTCTGAAAAGACAAAAAAAAACTAAACATGGCACGCAGCCCACGCAGCCCCATGGGCCCATGGGCCCCCATGGGCCCCGCGTGACCGTGTGACCAGGGCGCCCAGGGCGACCATAGCACCATAGCCATGGCAGCCACAGCCCCAGTTGGTCAGTTGGTCAGTTGGTATTATGTCAATAGCCCTTGGCCATGCGGCCCTCGTTATCACGTTATCCCAATTATCCCATCATGAACCGTCATGCTCATATGCTCATGCTCATCATGGCACATGGTATCATGTTCTCACGTCCCTACCGCCACCCCCGCCCCACCCCCTTCCTGCGCTTCCTGCGCCCCGCGCGCGCGGCCGCGTGCCACGCGCGCCCTGACGAGGCGAAAGCGCGAAAGCCAGCCGCAAACGGACGCGACCCGCCCTGAACGCGCGCAACCTGTCAAGCTGCCTTGGCTCGGTAGGGCCAGGGGCCCAGGGGCCGGGGCCCAGGGGCAGGGCAGGTGGGCAGGTGGGGGGGTAGGGAGGTAGGGGCGGTAGGCGTAGGGAGGAATGGGCCGAATGGGAGGAGTGAGAGAGCGAGAGAGTACGTGAGACTCACGTACTCTCTCGCTCTCTCACGCTCTCACGTACTCCACGTGAGTACGTGAGACTCACGTACTCACGTGGAGGGACCTGGCCCGAGGTTGGGGTTGGGCTGTTCTGCAATATCATTGCGGGGGTTGCGGGATTGCGAGGATTGCGGATCGGATTGCGGGAGGGTCGGACCAGGCGGTTGACAGGTTGACACGTTGACAGGTTGCCAGGGCGGCTCGCGGAGGCGGAGGGCTGCGCGGATTGCTAGGGGGCTTCGTGGTTTCGGGGCTAGGGGCGCTAGGGGCCATCGGCCATCGGGCCATCGGGCCATCGGGCCATCGGGGCCATCTGGACCATGGTCATCCGTGGTCAATGCGTCAACGCGCAAAAAAAGAATTAGTCATAACAGTATCGGCCCATCCTAGACACACAGCGATTATACAGCCAACGACGTGAACGTGCATTGTGTTCCCAGATTGCTTCACAAGGGCTGAGCGAGACCTATCTGCATTATTATTGCGGTGGAAGCTGCAGACGTTCAAATGCATGCGAGATTCTTCTAACGAGTTAAATACCACGTCTGTCTGATCCAAAACTGGGAACCCCTGGGCTACCATGAGTTCCATCGGGGTAATCCACCTTTCCCTCTCCTTCACCCACTGCATGCAATGGCAGGTGATCGCTTGCAAGATCTCCGGAGTGGACTTCGCCGGCTTCTCGTCAGGGTCCTCGCGGGGCGGTGGCAATCAGCGAGTCGGCGTGGCATGGCATGGTGGCATGGGGGCATGGGCAGCGGGAAGACTGGCGGAGCGGCGGAGTGGGAGAGTAGGATGCGACGATGCGACGACTGCGGGGCGGGGGGGGGGCTCGGAGGCTCGGCGTGTCGGGGTGTCGGAGGGCGCCGAGGAAGGAGTAGGAGGAGGCAAGAAGGGGCAAGGCAGGCAAGGAGGCAAGGAGGCAAGGACGGGACGGCGAGTCAGCTCAGGAGGCGAAGGGGGGGGGGGAGAGGGGGAGAGGGGGGAGAGGAGCGTCGGCAGCATCGGCCAGGCAGGGCGCGCGGTGCACGGGAGCATGGAGGGATGGCGGATGGAGGGGTCAGTGGAGGGGCGGTGGATAGGGTGGAGGGGTCGAGGGGGGCTCGAGAGTAGAGTCGATGTGTCGTGATGTGTCGCGGCTAAGGGGCTAAGGCGATGACGGCAGCAACGAGAGTCCGAGATCGGCAATTGGAAAAATATAAGGATATGGGAACGGGGCACGGATGAGTAGAAGAGTAGAAGAGTAGATGGGTAGATGGCGAGAAGTGAGCACACTGTGTCGAGTGAACGCGTCGGGCGATGGACCCAGCCCGGCCAGCCAGGCACGCTGGGCGCGCCGGGTGCATGGGGCGCAGGGGTGCAGGGAGGAGCGCATAGGTCGTGCCTAACAACTGTGCGCATTGTATATATATATATATACATATATACATATATCTATATATATATATATATATATATATCCGCAGATCCCATGCACGCGCAACCGCAATATGCAAGCCTCAACATTTGACATCGCCGACAACGCGATATGGCATGCACCGCTTCCCCGACGTCACACACGTCACACATACATTCGGACGCACGACGCACGCGATTGCATGCACGCAAGCATAAGACGCATGAGACCATACCTAAAACGCCATGACACCATGACGCACGCGCACACGCACACGCTTTAACGGAAAGACGGAAAGTGTGGAAAGTGTGAGATTGGGTCCTGCGTGAGGTTGTACACAAGGTTCCCGGCAAATAATGTCTCGTACCGATGTAAGAACGCAGCCTCCCCAGTGTTGAGGGCGCGGCGATGGTCGCCAGGCTGAAAAATGTGATCGACGGTAGGCCGTTCACCATCCCAGGAGGTTGTCTCGCGAGATGCTGCCCACAATAACTCTCGCTTGCACTCGTCGCTGGAGGCGACTAGGAATACCCGCCACGTGCACCGCATCGACTGGTGAAACAATTGGATCACATTATCGAGTGACGAAAAATGTGCTGTCACTGTCCTCCGATGTAGCAATATTGACCACCTTCGTTTCCGACGGACTGGCCAACCAAGGCTTGTTGGACAAACGATCGCAGTCATGACCACGTAGGCATACCCGAACGCATGTTCCAGGATCGAGACGTCAAAGAGGTGGCTGTTCTCGTGACTGATGAACATGGGCATGACTAGACGCATCAAAGCAACCCAGGCGATGAACAGCTGTTTCGTCTTACCCTCGGCGCCGCCGCGCGTGCCGAGCGGTGCGAAATCCCAGCGCGGCGTACCTGCTACACTGATCTCCCCTGCCTCAAACTTGCAGCTCACGCCATGCACTAGGCAGTGGCAGTGCCCCCTTGTTACCGACCGAGCCCTGCCCGTCCAGAACGAGTCCAGCTTAGTCAGCGATAACTTACCAGACGCATCGAGCTCCTGTAGGCGACTCAACGCTGACGTCGATAAGAAACCAAGAATATCTGAAAACAGGCAGCCTGGCGGACTTGCATGAAGGAGCAACTCGCGTTGACATGCTGAACTGTGCTCGACCGCAGCCAGGTGTCGAGGGTGTGCGGGTGCTTCGCCAGTTAGAATCGATACCATATTTGATAACCCACATATCGCCGTACCTGGCGCATCAACGCCCGAAAACGCAGTGCTGTATGTAAGCGAGCGCAGTCGAGTCGAAAGTCGCGATAGCCCAGTACTATCAACACCAGATCGGCGTCGCCAGCCACCGCGGCCACCGCCAGCGCCTATATTGGTCAGCTGCTCGATGAGTCTATCCACAACAAACTTTGGCCACGCCATCAATTGCTTCAGCGCGTCATGCGAGTCCGCGTCGGGATCGTGCTCTGGACGGGTCGCACGGTTGGCGAGGGTGCCGTTGATGATCGGCCCCCGCGTCGCGCTGCGCCTTGGC